TTTCTCGCATCGCTCGTAACGTGTTTGTGGGCGACTAATAACTAAGACTAGAGCCACGGTTTATCTTCGGTAAAATGGTCGCGTTAATAAATTGCGGTTCTCGGACAAGGTCTCGATGCCGCCATAAGCTCCTCCGCGGATGATCGCAAACACGGTGAATCATACGCCCAATGTGACTGCTAAATACTTTGACGAGCAACACACTTTGACTACTAAGTGGAACAATTGCACTCGCTCGTCGTTTTTAAAGCCGTTAGACTGCCGTTAGCAGAGTCGGTTTAATTCTTTCATGACCACTTGGGCTTGGACGTACAAGCGCCACTTGCAACATTTAAAAGGACTCAATAATTTAGCACGCGTTTCTATTACTGAAAAATTATTATATCAAGAAAAGCTTAAAAGCAAAAAGTAATTCGGTCGTGAGAGGATTAAGGGCAATTACGTTAAGGCTTGAAGAAGAGGCAATTATATATTCTTTCACCAATTATATTCCGTACCTCTCCGGCGAAGGCTTGTCCGTCGACCGTGTGTTCGGATCCCCTGGAGTCGCTGCATCCCCAGTGACAGTGGTACTGCTCCAGCTTGTAGACATCGTCCATCAGCGGTCCGCCGCTCAAAACTGCAGGCAAATCGAGATGTTACGTTAGACGAGACAGATGTGCGACACGGCAATGCCGACGCAATTGAATGAGTGAACGACTGAGGGCCTGAGCAGGAAGATTGTCGTAACCGTTTACGATTCTGTCGCAAGACGCAGGCCGATGTCGGAAGTCAACGCACAAAGAATTGTCGTAGACGTGTGTCGCCTTGCGATGTGATGAATGCATCGACTTGCGTCTTACTACGCGTTCGTCGCAACGCAAGACGACATACGTCTACGGCAATTCTTTGTGCGTGGACTTTCGACATCGACCTGCGTCTGACTACGGGATCGTAAACACTCACGACAAACTTTCTGCTCAGGCCCGAAATTAGGGGAGATTTTCGGAGCACGCTTCTACGGAGGCGTCAGGAACGCGGAGCGTAACGCAAATCGCGGGGTCAGTGGGCAGGCCGCTTTATTGCAGGATACGCTTGATTAGCGCGAACGGGGGCTATAACGAGAGAGGATCGGTCGCATTTGCACGACCGCGTGACTCATTTGTGTCGCGACGCATTTTATCACTTTGCATTTCACGCCTCTAGTTCATCCGTGATGAATCGCTCGGGAAAATTCGGCGCGCCAAGTCCGTGTTTACGCGTTAAATTTTCCCCGAGTTTACAAACGAGTTATTTATTATGCGCAGCGGGCGCGGTGAGAAATTTCCGCGAGACGTTTGTGCGCTCCGAATGTTATTTCAGACCTTTATTGCATACATAAAAGAAAAAAGGAAATATAAAAACCACGCTCCGCTTTAGGAAGGCCTTTATTTTAGCTATCGATCGTCCGTCCCCGTATTATTTTCAGCAAATATGCACTTTTGAATAATGCTGGTAGGTAATTTCCGCACGTTGAATTTCTCGAAAAGGTCTCTTCTCGCGGCGAGTGCTCGACAGGTGACGTCGCGACTTTATTATCGCGACATCCTATCTATTGTTTTGTGTCACATATCGCCGTGGTAGAGCGCTCTGCTTCGCTTCGTGCCACATATGAATACACATAATACGCCACGGCACGGTCGTCCTCATTTCGAATACGCCCCGAGCGTACTCGGTACGAAGGTAAAGGCCCTAAGTGGCACGAAGTCGACAGTGAAAACCCTCGTAGCGATCGTGGACGCGGGATCGGGCGGCCGAAGCCGCGCGAGAACTCGCTCGACGGCGCGTAATCTCGGAAATACATAACACCGTGACAAAACAAATCGCATCGCGTTCGCTCCTTACGTAAGGTGTGCATGATGCACGAAATTAATAAAAAGCATTACGTAACTCATTCGTGCGCGGAGAGAGAACGGCCTTTACACGGCTCGCCGCGAGAGCCGCGGATGTAACGCGGCTCTAATCGCGTTCGGCACCGCTGCCAACGTTAATGTTTGCAGAAGCACGCTCAAGATGGAATGCGAGGCCGGGTATCGCGTACACAATCGTCTAAATTTATACTGGATCACTCCATCGCTGGATGGACGAGCGGCCGCGCATTACAGTATTTCGCAACTTATCGCCGCACTTTGCAGCCGCGACGATCTGCAATTCAAAGCTTCGACCGCAATCGCGGCCCCACTTTTCCCTCCCTTCTTGCAGGAAAACAGCTTTTTCGCTCGCGTGTTTATGCATGGATCAACTCGAGATCGATCATTGTCGCTGGACATCGCTGAATTCACCGAGCGACGTTTTCGAACGTTGTCCGAGATAAGTAGTCGGTGAAATTCTCGCGTAAAGAAGAGAAGGCGAGAGGAAACCCGAGTCGAATATTTTTTTGGCCTCGCTTTAGCCTCGTATAATTTTTGAATTGGGAACAATGAGGTGGTCGAACTAAGGTCTCTGTGTCGGAGAAAATGTATTGAATGTTTTACCTCAGAGAGGCTCGACAAGAGTCGCTATTTTAGCAGTAAAGAAGCCTAGGCGAGTGTAATCAACGGAGGTTCGGTAGATCCTCTTCGGCCTAAGAGCTTTCAAGGAGGGTGAAATATTTTATTACATTCCCTTTGAGGGTTAGAATGAGATTAAATACAATTTTTTTACTCATCTAGGTGCCTCAAACTGGAGTTTCGAACCGACTGCGAGGTCCAAATGAAGACACAGAATAGATAAATCGAGGCCCATTCCGGGACCAAATCCTCGACTCGGGAAGCTAAGGGCGCGAAAAGACGAATGGCGCGAGATTCCGTATTTCAAAGTGCGATACTTACATGTCCCCTCGCCGTCGGTATCCACCCGCCAGCAGTAACCGGGATTGACCAGCTTCCGGGACGCTGTGGCGGGATATTTCCAACGCAGGGGCTTGCTGCTGAGGGCCTCGTGATCGGACTCCACCCGCTTGGTCTCGATGTTCACCGGACTCTGTCTCGAGCCGGCTGCCATGGGGAATTTCGTCACCCACGTGCTGGGTCCTGCAACATGCGCACATGCAAATTAGAAAAAACAGAAATGCATATAAACTCAGATTACGTTGACGAATGAGGATTAGTATCGCGAGTCGCAATGAATTGCGACAAATTTGTCGCGGTGACAAGGATCGGCGGAAATAAAAGCGGACGAGCGTTTTCCTCGTTTCATAATCGATCCGCGAATATAATTTTGCGATAACTGGCACGGCATTCATACCGTGACACAACGAGATAGTACCGCACGGAGATACGAGACCGAGCTCAAGCAAATTAAGAAAGTTCGCATGCCAAGCTCCGAGCGCGAAACAAACTCTTTATCACGTTGCACGTCACGTGCTGATAATAGATTCAAGTTCGCATTTATCGAAATTCCGGTCTGCACGGGCCACCTTCAACCGCGAAAGTTTGTTCTTTCTGTTTAACGTATATACAGATGAACGCCAAAAAAATGCGAATAACATTTCCGGGACGAATAACGTTCGCTTATTGCGACGCACTGACGAGGCGATAAGCGAATTCTTGTTAGAGATAATCCACGAAGGGTAATTTATTACGCGTTCAATAAGCCTACTAACGAAAACGCTCATTAAAAAATAGTGCCTGCGAATGTCAGGCCGAGCGTCAGTTTCGACAACGCGCGAAAGCTGATCAAGCATATCCTTAATAATCTCGCACACTCCTTATCTGGCGACGTGCGTCACGTGCCGACGCATTAATCTTTCTTTATCGGGACACGTGATCCCAACGTTGTTTGCCTTGTAATTAGATGTCGAACGCGACGTTCTAGCGCGCCGAAGATCGGGAGAGCAAAGAAAGATGAACGCGCGAATTAAACGAGCTGATCGATTGATTAGCGCGAGAACGAGAGATTTGCGACGTTCAGCGTCGATTTTCGCGGAATCGCGTTTATTTATGATATAAGTGGTACAGTGTGTTCGTGCGAATCGTGTCTCACTCGATGTTGCGATCAATCGGTCGCCATTAGAACGCAATTAAATTCGCGGAATTAAATTAGTCCCGGCGATCCGCGCTTCGTCATACCGCGTACAATACAAGCGCAGGCATTGTTTATACATTGGGAAAAATGAAAGAGATTAACTCTGAGAACTCTAGGCGGCATGAAATAAAAATCAAGAAAGATAATATTTAAAATTTATCGTTGGCACTTTCGCTGGCAATTCTGGTGCGCAACCTAAAACTGGAAGTCGCGTGCCAAAATCCATAGCTGGTCAAACGCTCGTTTTGACGAACTTGAAATAAATTTATTGTTAAGTAACTAGTAAGCTTCGGTAGATCCTGTTCGGCCTAAGGAGTTTCCAAGAGGATGAAATATTTCATTACATTTTCTTTGAGGGTTAGAATGAGGTCCGACACATTTTTTTTACTCATCTGAGTCTCACACTGGAGTTTCAAATCGACTCCAAGGTCCAAATGAAGACAAAATAGAATATAATCGGGGCGTTCCGGGACCAAATACTCGACTGCCTTCCTAAATAAAATGACGTAAAATTCCCGGCCACGGCTGCGAATGTATGAGGTGTTACAAACTATTGTCATATAATATTCTCGTAATATAACGTTAGAGAAATAACAGGGTGACCCTGAACGCAGACCTCACGGCTGGATTTCAGATCTACCCGCACAATCGTCCGTAAAATTGAAAGCGCGGTAGCTCCGCGGAGTGAGACGAATTAGTCATTCGCGGCGCGTAAGAGCGTAAGAAATCCGCCCGCGGCATTGAGACCGGCGTCACGTGAATTCCCATTGAAGGATAGCTCCGCGGTAGTAACAAAGCGGCCGCTTATCCGGTTCGGACCGAAAAACACGGCGATAACGGTACGCGAGGCGAAGCGACGCGGGCGTACGGCGCTCTGCCAGAGATAACTGATTGAAATGAAAATTATCAGCGGATTGCAAACACCGCGAGAACGTTGAATGGAAATAAATCAGTGGCGATTAGACAATCTATATTGCTTTTATCGGTTGCAGATATATGTATGTGGCCTGGGCAGTTTCAATATCTAAACGTACACTCGAGTTACCTGAACATCACTTTTCTCTACTTAGTTTGTTATTCTCGGGAATATTGGACTTTGATCAATTCGCTTAGATATTCTTATGTGATATTAAATTAACTTTGTATTTAACATGAAGGATTTTCATTATTGGGGTCAAGAATATGGAAGATCCTTCGTCGCAACAGGCCAAAGCCCTAATCACAATAATTATCAATGTGAACGACGGAAAATTACAGTGACATCAAAATATTATTGCCATTGAGAGATTGTGACGACCGATACGACTGATTTTATCGCCGGTCTACGTGACGATTCGAATCCCTGTTGCAGAGAAGATAGTAAGAACGACGCTCGTTTGAAGGTTCGTTCAACCTTGCAACGTGATGATTCAACGAGTCACAGGAAATATACGTAAGGCCAAGTGCGGAATATCGTCAATGCACTCGGCAAATCTCTCCCTCTTTCTCGACATCGCAATCCTTTTGTACCAATCAGCTTAACGTGCAAGCACACGCACATTTTCCGCCTGTAGATTATTTAATGTTGTAATCCCGAGCCCGTCCGCCGTGATTATCGGAGAGACTCGATATTACGTTACGTATATAAAAAAAAAATTGTCATTTAATGACAGAGCGCGTTTCTGCCACGTGTCATTCTGCGATATTTCGATATCGCGTGGAATCTCTCTTCTCGCTTTATTTATACCCTTAATGCTGTATAGTATTATTAGACAGCAAAAAATTCCTATTCAATATTCACGAGTCGCAGGTCAAAAGGCTGCGACGCACGTCGATCTTCCTTTTGAACGGCGACTATTGCCATTCGCGTGAGCAAATGTTAATTTTAAAATATACAGCGCGTTTAATCGTTCGGAAAGCAGAGAAGAGATAAAACGCCGCCGTTCGTATTAACGAACGCAATGTGCAAATAAGTCGCCGTATGTAGGTTTCACCTGCGCGTGCATAATAAGCGGGAGCCTAGAATGGCGGAGGCCTCGTCGGTCGGCGGGCAATTTGCGAGTAAATCGTCGCGAACGAAGAAGCGACCGTTCGCGGATTTCTCCGCGCGATTCTCAGATTGCCGACTTTCCTTCCCGCCGATATTCTCACGCGCCCGGCGCGATATTTGCGCGCCGACGTTCGCCACTTTTGCGTTGCGCGCGCTCGCGAAATGTCATCATCCCCTTCGCGCCCGTAAACCGCGGGACCTTTTTCGCGAAACGCGAGAGACGGCCGCCGTGGACGAGGGCCTGTAGATAAGACAAGTCCTCGCGACTCTCGGAGCGCCCGTCCACAAAGACCCCGAGATGATCGCGTCGGGAAACGTTTGAGACTTGGCGTCACCCGAGGGAAAATGGAATCTCCTGTTCCTTTAATCTTAACGCAACAACGAGAGCGCTTTCTATTTTTGTCCTGGATGGAACTCGATTGAAATCACATTCGCCTCAACCGGCGACAACCTAAATCGATAGGAAGCACTGCGATAGCGAGCGGCGTACAAGTGTATAACGCACGAATCGGGAGACCTCTTGCACAAGGTTTCTCATTAGCAATAAGAATAAAGGCTTATTGTCGCCAGTGAATAATTAACCCATGTAGGAAAATTAGCAAGGGCCAGTTTTGCAAACGTTGGTTAACTGCTAACCGAAGGTCGATCGATTCTCTGTCTGTTCTTAGCTAACAAGACAGAAAAAGATAGGAAGTTGACTGAACTCTGGTTAACAGTTAACCGACCGTTAGGACCGTTTGTGAAATTGGCCCTAAACGACGCAACTGGCAAATTCTAATTAGAGAAATTTGCGAAAAATATTACCTCAGCCAGGGCTTGAACCTGGACCTCCCCTACGTCTCGTCGCTTCGACCACTGAGGCATGTGTTGCCAGTTGTGTCGTTTATTAATTTTCCTACTTTGGTTCTCATTAATCTTTCAACGTCCTGGTCCTCTCCGTTGCCGCATTGCTCTAAAAAAGGGCTCGATTTGATTAAGGAAAGGAAACCTCGGCTCCGACTGTCAACGGCGCACGATACTATTTTTCCCAACTGGAATGCTTGCGAGAGCCAATAGGGTGACTTGAGGCTAAATCCTGATTGGCTCTCGTAAGCAATCCAGTAGGGAAAATAATACCGCGTGCCGTTGGCTTAAATCCTGATTGGCTCTCGTAAAGAATCCAGTAGGAAAAGTAGCATCGTGTGTCGCTGACTTTAGCCTTAAGTCACCCGATCTAAAACCCTGCATCCTTATTGGCTTTAATTACGATCTGTGCTTTAACGTGTCATTTCGAGACTTGCAGCTTGTTACAGCTCGCGCAATCTTCCACGGCCAGTCCTGCCTGTTAGTTCGTACATCATTTACAATTGTCTCATATATATGCTAATTAACTGAGATAGAATAACTGTCTTCTTCATTCACTTACAGGCACGATCGGAACCGACGTTCCGGTACTCGTTAGGCGAGCGGGCGGAATACGCAAATAAGGGGATCGCCGCTCGCGCGATTTCGTGCATCAGAACGCCGACCTCGATTACCTGGAATCCGAATTAATTTGCACGGGCGTAATTTCATTTTCAACGCCGCGGCGTTCCGAGGATATCTAGACTAGAATTAGAGTCAAGGGTATACGTTCCACACGCGAGACGGTCGCCGGCGATCGGCCGGGCCGTTCGAAATTTCACGATCCACCGGGCGCGCGCGAGCCAAGATAAATCCGCTCGGAAGGCAATCCCGCGGGCGGCCGCAATTACGCGAGCGGCGGCGGATTCTTCCGAAATAATTGATGACGGCCGAATGCATCGATCAATTTCAAACGAGCGCGAGACCCTCGCGCGGCCGCGAGCGCGCGCTTCAAGACCCAGGCGACTTTTAATCGTCCCCTCGCCCCCTCTACGAGATCGCGCCCCCTCGTTTTGGCAGCGGGCCGGTCCCCGAAGATCCGTACGCGTCGGATCGCGGAATCGCGATCCTCCCTGGCTCGCCCGGCGCCAACCAATCGGTCGAAAGATAGCGCTGACAAATTGACTCGAGATTAAGGGCGGTTTCGGAGGCATGCACGGCAACTCCGGCGGCGGAACAAAGTGAAACTGGGTCTGCGACCCCCTCCGGCCTCCCGTGTGCGTGCCCGTCCGTGTGTGTTGCGCATACGTGTGTGTGTACGCGCGGGAACACAGGTGCATCGGCCTACGGCCACTACGGAAGAAAACTATTGATTTTCATTTACCCCGCGGAGTCGTGTCCCGCGTTCCACGAGGTCTGCGAGGAAAGAAACTTTCCCTCCCCCTCCCCCTGCCTCGTGCACCCTCGGTCGCTTGGCACGGCCCGTTCGCCCTGCATTCGAGCGGGAAGACAATGGCCCCCCGGGGTCAGTGAGCTTGCGGTACCATCCGGAAACCGAGACGAAAATCGAGCGATCGGAAACAGGGGGAAGGAAGAAGAAACGAGTTTCCGACAAGGGTTTTTTCCCTTCCACGGGTTTCGACATGCATCCCGAGGATCGGTATGCGGGCGACTTAATGTCTAGTGGGCCGCGTTTTGACGCTGCGGAGACGCGCTAATTAAAATTGAACCCCACTTAGGGATCTCCGAAGTGTCATCTATATGCTATTCAGTTCAGTTAATAAAAACTATTGCAGCTAACAATAACACTTGCGAGAAGCTAGTTGAGATGTCTGGGGGAGCTGTCGCGCGGTAACGTCTCGCGGCGAAAGATTTTTAATAAAATATTATTGTTTCAAGAATTAAGGTTGCCGCGGGGATCGATAATCCCCACGAGAGCAAAACAAGCGGTTATTCCAGATGCCAAGTTTTCCTGAGATTCCATTTTGTAAAGGAAACGTCTCGCGCTTTATTCGCTATCAAGAGGAAGGAGATTCACACGTGTTGACCATCGTCTCCGTAATGTTTCTTGTATTTCATAAAACTTGAGAAAGCACGTGGCCTCGTAACGAAATGAAAAACTTGACGGGCCCATTGTCCAACTTTCAGTGTAGGATGTATTGAGGGAAAGAGAGAGAGAGAGAGGGGGGGGGGGACAAAGAGGAGTTATTTCAGCGTCGCGAGGGAAAGGAGAAAATTTTTGTCGAATTTAACCGGAGTGTCCGAAGGCCAAGAAACTCTAATCAGTTACGCTCTTTGTTTTTTTACCCGAAACTCTCAACCGTCGCACTTTTTTTTTCGTTTAGTGACCACTTCCTAGGAGAAAAGTATCTCGTTCTACAATGAGATCCGTTTCGCAATGAGATTCAATTAATTGCCGCGATAGGAATTATCGCGTACGCGTCCGTGGTTAATCTAGAAATGAGATACCGGGCTGCCAGTCCGGCAGCGCTGATTGTCCAGCACGGAAATATCCCTGTTATATGCATATTGAATGCACGACGATTGACAAAGTCGCCGATCAATAATTGCGATGCGTGCGAAGTTATCAGAAGTAACGTACGAGGAAAACGGCCGGGCGGTGGCCGGCGCGATTCGTGGGAAAATCGTCGAGTTTTCGCGCGATTGCATATCGCGGGAATTAATTATCCTAATGTCCACTTCTACCGATGCAAATGAACTTTTAACGTCGATCGAGCTTACTTTTTATCGTCCCCTAGTTCTAGGAATTAAAATTAATTTGCATCGACAGCACAACGGATAGGACGAGAATTACAATTGCCTCCGAGATCCTCTTCGTTTCCTACGTAACGTCTGTTTACGCATCCGTGCTGTTTATTTGCAATCCAAATCCTCGCGAACGAAACTTGCGCGAGTCGTGCCGGATACGCGCGACCGCGACGAGTATTTTGCTTAGCCGTGTATTATCGTTGACTTGGGAGCAATGAAGTCGAACTGAGGTCTTTAGGAATATATTGAATAAGAGTCGTTATTTCAGGAGTAAAGAGGCCCCGATGCGAGTGTAATCAACGGAGATTCGGTAGATCCTCTTCGGCCTGAGAGGTTTCAAAGAGGACAAAATATTTTACATTCTCTTTTGCGGGTTAGAATGAAGTTAAAGACATAAATTTTTCTTCCTCATCTAGGCCTCGAATTGGAGCTTCAAACCGACTCCGGGGTCCGAATGAAGACAATAGAATAACTAAAGCCCGTATCAGACTACGGATTGAGATTGGGATTAGATTGAAATTTGACCAATCAGAGACCAAAAGTTACTGAACTTAAGATTAGTAAACTTTACTGTGATTGGTTAAATTTCAATCTAATCCCAATCCCAATCCGTAGTCTGATACGGGCTTAAGGCCCATTCCGGGGCCACATGCCCGACTCGGGGGAGCGCTCCAAGGACTTCTATTTCTATGTTTCTTACCGTTCCGGAAGTAGTCCCACTCGTCCTTCGAGCCCATCCTCGCGTCCGGCTCGGCCCGGGGCACTACGGTAAGCTGAGACCCGCGAAACTGAGGTCCGAGTAGAATCTGCACCCGCTCGTCCTGGCTGCTCGCGCGTCGACTCGCGTTGATCGGGCGTACGAGCACCCGCGTTCCGCGGTCGCCGGTGCGTCTGGGTAGCGCCGGGACCGTCTCGACGGCCACGTTGAAGCCCCGCGACGTTCCCGAGACGGACGTGAGGCCGGCGCGGTCCGCGGCCTCCGCGATCTTGCGACTTCGCGAAACCCGCACGGGGGTTTCGCGCGGATTTCGATTCCAAGTGCGAGAAGAGCCGAGAGGCCCGTGGCGCGTCAGCACGTATCCTCCTGAGGTGTTCGATACCTTTTCACGCGGCGGCACGCCGAGTCTCTCTCTCGACCTCGCTGCTTTTTCCTTGGCGATCGGGAAAGCGACAGGCCTACACGCGTCCTACTCCGACGGCGGCAATACCGGCCGGCGCATCGGCACCGCTTTATATCGCGCGCGGTCACGTGACCGCGCGGACGCGCCAGCCGCGCATGCGCCGGTAAATATTTACACGTGCGCGCCCGCCACGCGTGCACACGTGCATACAACAGCTGCGTTCGGCATCGCAAATCCGTGGCGTCGGGGTTGCTCCTCTCTCCCGTTCTGTCTCATTCTCCTCTCTCGCTCGCTCGAATGCAAAGGAGCACGCCGACGCCTCGGATTTGCAACGCCGAACGGCAGCCGCAACGGCGGCGCATGCGACGCCGGCGGATCGATGATCGATAAATAATAACCGGCATGTCTTATTCATACGACTTGCTTTCCGGGAGGATTCGTTTCGCCGGAAGATTTAAATATTAAATAAATCTCTTTCGAATACGAGCTGGAACGAGCGACCTGTTGTTGTCCTGTGTAACTCGATTCCTTGAATGGAGTTGACAATCTCCGAAGATACTTTAAATATTTTAAGAAAGCGAAATTCTTCATTCCGTCCCGACGCGTACGAAACTTGGAGCTGGTGTCGGCTCAATGGCAGTTGGTATTGATTTATTTGAGACCGCATTAAAATTATGTTAATTTCATTTCGCCCAGCAAATGCGCCAAGTCTTGATAAATCTTTTCCATTGTCGTTTTCAGGTGAATATAATTCATGCGCAACGGTGGCTCAATAAAATTCACGCGGCTTTCTTTACAGTAGTTTCTCCCTCGCGAAATGTATCTTTTCAGTTTTATCGCAGAATCTGCGAAACACACCGGGAACAAGTGTAACGGCAATTCTTGCCGCTTGTATTTCTATTTGATCCTGTTGCAGAGAAGATATATTTAGCTAATGGAGCTGCAACGACAAGACTAGATTGCGAATCACTTCCTCGAAGGGGACACGTTTATCTACGTTTACTTCCTTCGCGTTTGCAAGCGATGAACAATCCAACCGCTCGAGAGAGACATACATGTGGCTCCCTTTATCACTCACAGATAACGTCGCTCCAGCAATGTTACGTCACAAAGTGTGCTACGAGCTACAGCGTCATAATTTCGTCTTTATTGCTCCAATAAAGAGAGCTTCAATAAAAATTAATGATTCCCAGCGGATTCTCCTGTTGATTATCAATACGCTCGGCTGTTTAAAACATGTCTTAATGTGTAAATTAATTTTGCTAGGTTTTCCATCGCTGTACTCGACAGTGTCTCAACGGCACTTGACGGCAGTGTTTTATCTTCTCGACTCGATCAATGCTTGAACCGTAAACCGTCGGATTTCCTCCCGGCACGAGAGATTGTCCCAAGACTCAATTTTAGGTCTTTCGCATAGATATGCAACGGGAGAAACGTGTAATAGGACACACCATACTGAGTAAAAAAAACCTAAATAAACATAGGTCAAAAACTCAACCGTTTCCAAGATATAAAACATTTTTGTATGTTAGCGTTATATGATTGACTTACTGGCTTCTATGTTGCATGCGACGTGAGGAGAAGATAATCTGTCTAAATTATTGTCTCGATATTCACAGAAGGTGTTCCACACATGTCCTCCTCCCATTTCCATACACGCTTTGGCATCTTCTTACACGAGTCGCGAACTCTCGAAAATTCCAGGTCCCCGTCGAATTATTTGACAAGCACGCTGGATTCGGTCACGTAATTCTTCTAAGACATTTATCGGCGAAGAATACACTATGCTTTTCAAATATCCCCATAAAAAAGAGCCCAACGGATTATAACCAGGGGATCGAGGGAGAACGTCGCATGCGACATGTAGAAGCCTGTAATGTTCATATCTCAGAAACGGTTGAGTTTTCGACCTATGTTTATTTCTTACTCATTGTCAGTACGGTGTGTCCTGCCTACCATATAAATATTGAACAGTTGTTTTTGAACATCCTGTATAAATTATAGAAAATTAGAATATTGTGATTTGCAATGCCCGAAAGATAGATATACAAACGGAACGATATCACCCTCTGCTCGCCACTCATCCTTGAACAAACAAGCGCGATATATCAGTTTACTTACTTCGTTACTTCCGAAAAAATTCCCGTAAAGCTGTCTTAAGCTCTCTTATCGTTCTTCTGTTGCAAGTCGCAACCTTGCTTAAGACAATCAACGTGAAAAGTGTACTTACTTCCTCGCATGATGCAAGTCAGCGACGTAAACTACTTTGCATGTCAACGTGGAACACCGACGCGTGGGACGAATAAAGAATCGTATCGTACCGCGGTCTTGAAAATCTTATATAACCATGGGAATTCGTGTATTCGCGTTACATCACATTTAATGCGCTTATTTGCAATCTTATCTACGAGATACCGAGTCACTTACACGCATGGGTGTCCTCCTAACCGGCCAGACCTTTGCGAAAGCAATAAAAGAGCTATTTTTCAAGCGCTAAATCTAAATGGCACGTCTCCAAAATGTAAAACGTATGAATTTAAATCTATTGTAAGTTATAATTCAATTAAATTTCTCTTCACGCGACGATCGAACGTATCACACGCGATCGTACCAATTAGACACAAAGAAAATGTCAAGAATTGTGTAAAGGGAGGATTTAAATAAACCCGATCGGAAGCTATTAATAAATGCCATTGATACCTGATTAATTAATCAGCTAGATTAATTTTACGTCGTGCGACTGTTATCGATGAACCGTAGCTGTGGGATGTTCGGAGATGACGTCTCCAATCACGACTCGCTCCCGAAGAGCGAGTGCAAAGATGAGTCACGCAGTACCCTAAAATGGTTTTATTAACTCTTAACTTTACACGTGTTTCTTTGTCAGTATACTAGTCTCAGCGAGAGATATCTGTATATGTATATCGTTAATTCAATATAATTTCTCATCCGACGAGCCGTACCATTACATGGTCTCGAGACAATCGGCGCGCGATCCATCTCGAAGCGTGAGCTCGATCCGATATGCCGTATTTTCGCGGATTTTGGTTCTTCCGTTTCCTCTCCGTCGAGAGATATGTCACTTAGCGAGAAACTTAGAAGGTAAGTATCGATGGCTTCGTTATCCAACGGAGAACCGCGTTCGTACGAAAGATTCTCGCGCGTACATCAACGCAAATATTTTCCGATCTGTATATGTGTGTATATATATATATATATCGAAGAGTTTTCACGGCGAATAAAAATAATCTAAAAATTCCCGTTGTTATGATACTTTTAAGTGTATATTATGTATATAATGTACAATTACGCTATTTCATTTCGAGCGACACTTTAAAATATTTACCCTCGTGTAGATATTTATCTCTTCGTGCCGGAGAATTAAATTGCACAAGTTGCATTACGGTCTAATAATAAAGCGTAATTCGAAACGAGATAACGTAAGTGCGTGTATATGTATATATAGCGATGTATACAACATGTTCGTATAAGCGATGCGAAATAGTTGTTCTGTTTCTTTCTTTCTTTTTTTTTCTCTGTAAATGGAACTTTTTCACGTCGTGCCCGCCCCACGTTAGCCCGAGTTTCTCTCTCAGAAAGCGGCCGAAAGTCACAGTCGCAATTAGCGTTACGCAATTTGCCGTCCCCGCCTCCTCTTTTATATACGCGATTATAAAATACTTTCGATCCATTCTCACACAGGCCAGAAGAGTCGCCGCAAGCGAAGTACGCTATTTGTGAAGTCTCATCCCATTCTCCTCTCGGGGGAGTCCTCCTCACACGTTGTCCCTATCTTATAAATATCGTACATGCCTATTTATACACATTGCCATCATTTTCACAGTAACGCAAGTTGCAGCGCTTTAGGGGATACGCAACGACAGAGCGATGATATGATTAGAAGCGTGATATGGACTTGTGCTTGTTTACCGCAGATCACAAACGGAATATGTTCCCTTCCGTATGTGACGCATCGCAAACTCTTGGTTCGGATCCGTCGACACTCCCGAATACTCTTACCCTACGTTACTTTTCCGTCTCAGCCGCGGCGTCGTTACTTGGTGAGGATCCCGCCTGAAGCAATAAATAAGATCCCGGCGTGTCCGTGGCGAGTGCGAATTTTGATTTAGCCAAGATTGACGCACGGACGTCAAGCTTCAATGTCCTCTCCGCGCGCGCAGATTTATATTTATTCCTCAAACGAGAGGCTCGCGCACACAAAGGAGGATCACAATCGTAAAGATAATCCCACTTTGCGGTAGGCAAAGCGGACTTGCGTTGCATTCAAGTCCTACAATTAGCGTTAAAAATTCAACACAGAAGATCTTTATTCGTACATTATAAAAATAATAAGAAAACATACTTACACATATTGATTCACGATATGAAAGCAATCGCGTACGGGCGACCAATCGCGACATCACTCCTGCCTCTTTTCGTACAATTCTGCGATAAACAAGACGCGCGCGATGAAGGGTATACGCGCGAGGAAAGTGTCTTTGACACGCGACCGCGGCCGACGATCCCTCCTTCTCGTCTCTCGCGAGCACGTGGCGATCGGGACCGATCGCGTTTACAGTCGTACAAGCGCGAGAAAAAGCGCGCTTCTTCAGGATTACAGAGATACATCCGGCCGGTTTCGCATCCGCGGGTGTCGCGCGGCTTCCCTCGCCATGCACTTAAATCCTCTACGTTATACAAAGACACGAATTAATTAGTCGTAATATTATATCGTGATTTATAGCTTGCACATACGAAACATCCTCGTTATTATCTCACATACGTATTAATCGTCAGCATTCACACCAGTATATAGGCGCGCCCGCGAGCACGTCGCTCCGCGCGTCGTCCCGACCACGGACGGCGGGCGGAGCGCCCCGGTTCCTCCCCCGGCGAAAATTCGGGGCGCATATGAAATTTCTTTTTTTTATTCGTTTCTCGTATTTCCTTTTCAAAAATATCAGGAAACTATCGAGGTATCGAAGAAACGGCTGCGTACGTACCCGTACCACACCCCGCACTCTTTCGCCGCACCGAACGATGAGATGAACGTGTGCACGTGTGCGTGCGTGTGTATGTCTCGCGTGTATGCGTCTCGTAACACGGCGGTTAAAAAGTTACAAAAATTATTGTAAAGAAATGCGCCCTAAAGAGTGCGAGCCACGTTTCTTGGTTTTCCCTTTCGCAATTACAAATATACCTCTTCCTCCGCTTTTTTAAATATTAATTATTTTTTGGCTTGGTAACTATATGAAAGTCTAAATTAAAATAGTCGCTGTGTAACGTGCGTATTAGTGTTTCTCTTTTATTTTCGTCCTGAGTTAAGCCTTCGATGCTGAACTCTCTCGTACGCAATTCGTGTACAATTCGCGGGTCTGAGAAATAAAAAGGAAAAAAAAAATATTATATTGCGGCTGTTAAGTCGTAAAAATTGCGAAGCGTCGGATTGTGCGTGAAACAAACAGTGGGTCTCCTTCGTAGCAAAAAGTAAATGCTAACAACTTGATTGGTCTGGCAGTATTTTTAAATTACACTGTCGAAATAACTGCAGACTGACGTCTATCGAACGGCAAATAGGTATTAATATACATATTTATATATTTATATATATTTATATTTGTATATATTACCTATCATTAGTTTTCTTATCTTAGATAAGTTATCTGCATGGCCTACCGTGCCAATGGAAGCATTTGCTGTCACCTTGCAATGGCATTGCATGTATCGCAATCGTTCCTTTAAATGTCTCAAAAAACGTTTCAATTCTCTGATATTTTCTCCTTAACTAATAGCGATCGCCAAGCGAGCTAGTTCGTACCTTCGCGAAAGTGACATTTAATTCTCCGTTTCATTTATCTCGCCATGAATTATCCTAAATGGAGGGTCCGGAAAAGAAACTGGAATATAATAACTTTTACGTATGTATAATAGATATTATACATTTAATATATAATATTGTATTATATATATTAATATACATTATATTCGAAATATAATATTATATATAAAATATAATATTATACGAATATATATGTATATCCTGAAACTTTCTCGCTTGGCGACACACCATACATTTGTCGTTCTGGCAGTGTTATACGTTATAAGTGCGTAATATATTTCGTTAAGTCCGTCGTTCTTGTTACCTGGAGACTCTCTGTAAACAGTAATTGCGTTAAATCCGTAGAACCATATTAATTATACGTACGCGCTGTTATTCACAGTCGGATACCCTTATTGCTTAATAAATGGCACTGATTATTGAAATATTTATGAGTATCGTTGCTGTCTCGAATGCTATAGAGTCGAATAAAGTACGTTTATTCCCTACCGCTGTCTCTCGGTTCTACAACGATCTAAACTAAATTCGCGTATTCGAGTTCGGAGCAGTGGATCCTTCCCTACAATTGAATTCTTTACGAAAGGCAACACGTGATTTGTATTCCCGTACTTCCTAGAAAATCTTTCCTTTTTCTTTCGCGTGAAATATAGATGATTGAGAAAGAGAGTATAACATGTCGACCGAATATCGACCTGAGGGATATTTTTTTTCCTTTTTTCCGTTAAATCGATGGTGAAACGTGCCGTTGCTGATACATATATAAAATAAGTAAAAACGCGCGCGAATTCGGAGTATGTTCTCGCGGAAGAATCTTCCATTCACGCCTCGCAAAGCAGTATATTGTCTCGTACCTGGTGAATGGAGAAGGGCCTTCGTTCAAACGTCGCTATAAACGTTCAGAGTCCCACGATCGTCGTCGTCGCCAATTCGAGATTGCTTTTTATAATTAATTTGGTTTTGCTTGTGTATCGGTGAGTCTCCGAGCATTGCTAGCATATATTTACGCGTAGGCGAGTGCACCGTATTTTGTTAGGGAGGCACGTAGGGGGGCGGTTTCCTGTACGTCGGAGTGGGCTTGGGACGATTTTGTCGATTGGTGTCGCGATTCGTGGCGAACGGCGGTGGCGGTTGGTACGGTTCCTCGGAGTTCTCCTTCGGCAGCATCGGCACGTCGGCGCCGTCCTCGGCTTTCTGGTACTCGGGCGGTGGAAGAGGTGGCTTTTCCTCCTTCAGAATGACGGGTGACTTATTGCCTGAAACCACGCAACGTGTTAGTGAAGAGACCCATACCGTTCGACTAATATATTTCCATTAATATACTGAGAAATAATCGTTACCAGGATCCGGTTTCTCGTCTAGCTCGTCTTGGAAAATCACGGGAATTCCCTTGCTCCGGAAACTCTGCCGCTCGTCATCTTGTTCGCTGACGCTCATCTTCCCGCTACGTCTTCGTTTGTGTAGCACGCATGCGATTATTCCCGCCAGAATGAGCATTGCAGCGATAATAATTGCAGGGAGAACGAAGGTGAGAAGATAATCATCATGGAACGCTCCGACAGACGTGGAATCGTCCACCGGTGGCACGTGGCTGTCCGGCGAGTGGACGCCCGTTAATTCGCCAAGACAGATACCCATCGGGATCACCGTGATCTGTTTCACCGGGAACTTCTGACCCATCACGTCCAATACTTCGTCCGTCACGGAACGCCGGTCATTGTCGCTCTTCACAAGAACGGATCGCAGCCTGTTGACCTCTTCATGGGCGCAATACGACGTAGGTAGAGTTCTGTTGTGCCACGTGATGACGGTACTGCCGTTCGAGATGTTGTGCAGCAAGATAGCACTCGTGTCTCTGTCCCCGTAGAGATCGCGCAATTTCTCGATGAAATTACGCTTCTGAAGCGCGGAATGCGCGAAGGAATCGTAGGGAATGTCCAGCGTCATCGAGAACTCTACTGTGTGTGCCATCGGAGGCGCCGGATGAACAACGACGACCAACCCATCCGTGGCGCTTGCACCTACAGAATATTAAATTTAATTATTTAATTGTTATAAACACATTTATCTATTTTAGAATACAAATAAATATATATATATTCTTTTACCTTTTGTATCAGTCACAACCAACTGATATTCCTTGCGGCCAATGTGAGCACTCATTGGCACGCCGTAAAATTCCTGATTCTTGCTATCAAACTGTAGCCACTCGCGAGGTGCAATAGGTTGTCGATCAATGGTCAAAAGTGACATCTTCATGTTTCGCGACGATCCATCCTCGGAATCGAAGAACGTGTCCTGTAAAAATCACACGAGATTATTCATATCGTTGGCATCGATAAAAATGTTATTCATAAGGATTTAATAAAACACATACTTCGGGCACTTTAAACACGAGTAACTGGCCAACTGTCGCGTTAACGTGATCGACTTGGTTCCTCGGTACCGGTGGGAAATTGACTTTCGGCTCTTCAGTAGACACTGTCGGTATCTCGGGTCGATTCATATCCTCACATTGTCCAATACCTTGTGTCACGACACGCTTCACCCTGATTTCTGGCCCAAGAGCCGTTCTTAGAGAAGACGACGGATCTCCATCGCTGTCGACGAGTACCTAATAACACATACATATAATTTAAAAAATCTGTATAACTTGTTTCAAAAGATAGAGATAATATAGCTTACGCGTGACAATCTGTTTATATTTTCTCTCGGACACTCGCTGCTTCTTGGAAGACTATCATTAGTCCATGTAAAAATGGCTTGCTCGTAGTCGATATCGATGGAACGAACCGTGATATGTTGAGTGTCGCTGTCTCCATAAAGTTTAGCCAAACTTTCGATTACCTGTAAAAGGTCGAATCAAGAGACAATTAGAAAGCAGCGTAAAACGAAAAACGAGTATCAATACGCACCTGGATTTCCCAGTCAACGTCAGTTGGGAATTCGTTTCGTTTGTCAATTCTCAGGTAAATGCTGAATTCGTGATTGACGCTACGACTCAGTTTGTGTTGCTGAACGTGAATGTCGAGACTGTCGGTGACGTTGGCGCCTTCTCTATCCGTGGCAACCAGTTCGTAATTCCAGGTCGATATATCGTTTTCGAGAGGCCTGTTGAAAAAGAATTGGTTGAATACAATGTATCTGCTTTGTCCGAGAAATAAATACAAGGGACATTGCATAAACTTACAGTCCATAGACTGCCTGGGTATGTTGATTGAACTGGAGCCAGTGAGTTGTTTTGAGCGGTGCACCTTGCCAGTACAAGCTCAACTTCAGGTTCCTCGTGTCGCCGTCTTCGAGATCAATGAAGGTGTTGGCCGGTATGGTGTACCATAACGGTTTTCCGGCAGTCACCGGTATCTTCTTCAATCTCCTGTCGCGTCTCGGCGGGAAGTTGGCCTGACCATACTCGATACTCTCCGTGGTGGTCCGAACTGTCGTAGTTGTGGTGGTTGTAGGTGCCGCGGTGGTAGAAGTCGTGGTCGTAGTCGTGGTCGTGCTGGTAGTAGACGGTGTTGTGCTCAACGTCGTTGGGCGAAGATCCGACGTTGACGGCATCGTCATCGTAGTCGTAGTTGTAGTTGTGTCATCCTTTACGACTACAGGCGTGACAATAGAAGCGGTGGCATTCATTACAACCGTAGACGAAGGAGTGGTGGTGTTAATGTCCGCGACAACAATCGACGTCGGTGCAGTAGTCGGTTCCCTCATGGAAGTCGTGGTTTGTTCCGGCTGGACGAGCAAAGATCGTACACCGTAAATGCATGGCGAATCATTGCATCGAGAAGAGTGGAATAAGTAGTTCCACATGATAGACAGAAAATCTGTGTAATGACGGTAGAACGTCAAGCCGCTATTAACGCGCCGTTAATAACGATGATTTTGATCGGAACGATAATAATTTATCCTGGCAAAGCGACAAATCGGCACGATATAGCGCACGAGGAAGTTGGTGTGTATAGCGTGAACTATTGTACAAATGAGAGAAGCGCTAAAGCACGTAAGCATTACCTCTTCCGTCGTAACATTAGTAATACCAACGACGGTCTCCGTTTCGGTTTTGTCAGAGATACTGGTCTGGGTGGCCGATGTGCTAAAAGGCGGCGGCAGAGTGGTTACGGGAAGAGGAGTCGTGGTGATGTCCGAAGGGATGGTTGGTAAAACGGTAACGGGTTCGGCGGATTCCACGGGTCTCGTTCTCTCCGTCGACGATTCCTCGTCCGTGGTCTCCGATCGCGGAGACTCTATCGATGGGGCTACAGCAGTGGAGATACTAGCTGTTGCTGTTACATCGGCTGACGTGACGGTCGTCGTGGTGCTACTAGCAGAAGCTACGGTCGTTGGCGCGGCTTGGGTGATGGTTGTAGTTGTCGTCGTGGTGGTGGAGGTGGTTGTAGTTGTTGATGGTGATGATGTAGTAAGTTCAGTGGTTCTTGTCTGCGAAATCGTTAGTAGATGCGATGTATGGCACGAAAAACGAGTGGGTTAGTTACGTTCGAAGGGACGAAGAAGTTGTACAAGTAGAGAACCAAGGTATCAGGCTTTTGTTCTTGCGGAGAGAGACTTTCGCGAGACGGCAATCTGTACGGCACACTTTAGAACGTATGTTTGCACGGACGGAGTATACAGTTTGCGAGAAAGAGAGGCCAGCGTCAAAGTACACAATACCCACTAGCTATTCTAAACTCTTTAAGCGCAACGATTACCCCGCAAGCGGTATGGCAAGTGGCGAATGAGGAGCGCAGAAATAGGAATCTTGACGAAAACCGTAGTAGAGCCACGGTATCCGGAGTGTAAACGTTGACCAAGGGAAATCAATCGCAGTCGCGTTTGATTTCGCAAAAGCCCACTTACCGTGGCCGTAGTTTTATTCTCCAATTCACTTTGACTCATTCTCGGTATTATCTGTTCCTCGTCGATGTTTTCGCTCTGAAAAAAAAAACGAACAATCCGTGCGCGAAATGAAAAATATTCGATCGTTGCGAGTATTTCCGCGCGTATCTCGTGCGATTTTTCGTTAAAAATAGCGCGCTCGCGATTCGGCATTATTGCAACTCACATTCCAATCGATCGTCTCCTCGCCGTGGTGATGCCGGTGAGGGTGTTTCAAGTCGGGTATGGTAGTCGGCGGTACTCGGGAGTCCTCGTTATCATCCTCCTCGTCCTCATCGTCGTAATCATCGTCGTAATTTTCATCGTAACCGCCGTAATCGTCCGAATCGTAGTCGCCGGAGCCGGCTTCCCGTCTGTTTCTCAGGTAGGGGTTCTGGATCGTCTTCACGCGCCACGATATCACAGGAAGCTCCAGAACTTCCGCCAGAGTACCGTCTTTCGCCTGCTCGCGTAACTGATTCACCAACTCCATCTGATGCTTCCATAGGTGACCGTCGCAGCCAACCTACGAACGCGCATAGACACATCCGGTTTTTCTTCTCTTACTCCATGTCGAGCGAACCGTTAAAAACGATTAATCAGGTATTTCGAGTCTCACCTGCCACTGGATGACAGTCAAATGATTCTCTTGGCGCTTGGAACGCCTAACGTTCCCGCGTCCGGTAAAGATGACGAAGGAACTCAGCGTGTTGACATCTTGAGAATACATCGAGAGTGCGCTCTGAAGAACGTAAAGACAAAAATCGTAAATTCTCTCGTATCTTGAAAGGCAGAGAAAACTCGACGAAACGCCGCCAAGTTGAATAATTCTTTTATCGCTCTTCTGAAATGTCTTTCAACTATCTAAACTGCAAATCGTGTCGTTTCGCAAAGGAACGCAACGGGAATTAAACGATTGATTTCAAATGGCACGATGTGGAATCAATACCGTGTGCATTCCCAGAAATCCGGCCAGGTTCTCGATGGCGTTCACCCTGACGGTAGGCGAAAGTTGGTCCATCCGCGTGTTCAGTATAAGCTGGAGGATCGTGTCGTCCTCGTCCTCGTTGCAGCGCATCTGGAATTAGGATCGTTTCGCATCAGCCGCCAGCCTCTTTCCGTCTACGCCTACCAGCACGCGAAATTTCAAAGATCGAGGTCGCCGACCAAACGCGGTATGTGTGCAATTGACGCGTTACGCACGCAGCAACATCAATTGGCGTCAATCAGTTAACGTCCGCAAGAGTCATTTCTTTACGACATTTAAACGCAACGTTGACGATACGATTGCGATGGGAGACCGTCGCGACGGACGCGTCTACCATCGCAATCGTATCGTCTGGTATATCGCTCGGGATCTCACTATAAATTCATCAACGCGGATCGTACCGCGGCGCGGCGCGACCAAGTTACAGGCTGGAAAATAAACAGTATCCGGAAATAGAAGGATCTTTTCACCCGTGATTCACTAAAGGCGAGCAGTTTCTCAAGCGTTACTTTATTTTGCTCCTTTTCCGCGCGAACGACGCAGAAACGCTTTTCGCTGACAATTTAAACGCTCACCGAACGCACACCCCTTCACGTTCACGTCTCTTTACGTCTTTAAGTTCTATTAATCATTAGTGAATGGAAGGCACGTACAGCGGGGACCTGTTGTTCGGCTCGGATAAGAAACTTGAAACCATGCCAGCGGTGTGTTTTCGCAGCTAACGATTCTCTCGCCGGTTCGTCGTTCGCGTTCTCGTTACGTCGGGCCAACGTTCCTATCGATATAACTCACCTTGCCCTTACGATTGAGTTCCTCGCGCTCGGGTAAAACTTGAACGATGAATTGATCCTCGGCGGTGTCGCGGTGTTTGCCGACAGCTGTGACGCTCAGGTGATAACGGCCCACGTCCTTTTCCGCCGGCACGCCCAGGAGAGTGGAGGCGGCGTCGTCCCAGTGCAACCATCGCGGGAAACGATCGTGATCCGCGGTCTCGCGGACCTAATGCACGTGAAAAAAAAAATCATATTCCTCGCCGCAACTCCTCCCGAGAGGCTAAATATTCACGCCGTCATCTCTGCGCCAGTTCTTATCGAACTTTTGAATCGCGCCGACGAAACGACGAGCGTGTCCCGTGGCTCGAATAATTTCGAGGACAAAAGGGAAGACCCAGGGCCATTCAACCTAAGAAGGATTTCCGGCCGTGAGATTCGCCGGGAGACGGCGGGGAGCAAATTGAATCGCAAATATGGATTCAACGAGAGACGCCGCGCCGCGCCGACGGGGCGGCTCGTGAGAGAGAGAGAAGAAAATGACAGATGTGAGGACAAGCAAATCAATAGCGTTCAAGCAGCGGCGGGCATCGTTGATACTTGACAGCGCTACGAGGTTCGATAAATGCGAAAGAAGGGCGTTCTCGAGCGGTCTAAATCCGACGCGGCTTTTATCTCTCGCGGCTGGATGCGAGTACGCGGTATGCTCAAACAACATGTTTTCTCCCGGCTCCTCGCACGAAAGATCTTTCAACGAGATACAGAGATACTCGCGCGCAACTACGCTAATGCACCGTAGAAAAATATTCGCGCGCTCGCTTATCGAACGTTAAAGGCGACTTTTTTGTACCCGCGAGATTTCGATAAAGTTTCAGGATTGAGGAGCTTTTCGTAGGGGGAGGCCCACTTTTCGAGATTTAATTTAATTGAAAATTCGTGCAACGTAGAACGGATATTTTTCCCGTCGGGGACCCTCGCGCGGTGCAGAACGAGGTGGCGGTCTTCCGGTCACGTCCCAAGTTCGTGGCCGAAGAATAAGTCGCGGCGCCGAACTTACCTCGTAAGAAACCACGCTTCCCGAGAAAGCCTGCTGCGGTATTTTCATCCTGAAGACGTGGCCGGCCAGGAGGATGGAGTCCGGCACGCCCCATGCCCTCTCGACCCGCGAGGCGTGCCTCCTGCCATCGCGGGACGACGATCCGTGCTCGTGACGATCGGTCTGACCGCGGCGCGAATGGGGATTCATCAGGACGTTGGGCACGTTGCCGTTGTCATTGTCCTCGCCGACATCGTCGAAGACCAGGTCGTCCTCCTGCAGGCTGTAGCCCAACGCCAGGGACAGCAGCAGGAACAGGGCGCACGTGAGGATGTGAGGATGCTTCTTCATGTTTCGGGGGAGTTCTCAGTCACTGGTACCATACCATGCTGCTACGCCTGCAACAGGTCAAGCCACGTCCCCGTTCAGTCCGAGTCACGATCGCCGCGATAGTCATCGAACGATGTCAGTGTCGTGATAATTAACGCGCGCGCGCGCGCGGTTTATCTGCGATGTAAAATCCCGATTGTTGAAACGGGAACGTCACGAGTTGAGCCTGCGACCCTTAAAACGTCGCGAGATTGAACGTAGCCACTCCATCTCTCAAATTGAGATAAACGGAACTTTCTTCGTCGCATTGATTCGCACATTAATAGACGCAGCGCATTAACAGAGGAAAGTCCCCTGTTATGAGATAGGCTTCTAATATGAGATAGAAGGTTTTCAACGTCCAAATTCAATCGCAATCTTCTTTCGCGGCGATTACACAATCTAACAATGAATTTCCCACTGAATATATGCCACTCCAGGGACAATAAATTCATGGTGGAGCCAACAGATGCCTATTGATTTAGAAGAAACTCCGTTGTCTCATATTAGGAGCTTGCCTCATAATAGGAGACTCTCCTCTATATGTTACACTTTACATAAAATAATGGTATCATATTGCACGTGGCACACACTAGCAATAAAACAGTTCGTACGACAAATAATTTCTGCAGATTACATACTTCTTGTCTGCGGAAAAGAGGCTTGAAGGATCAACGTACGAAATATACCAGCCGAATAAAATGCCAGCCGGATACAATGCGATCGAGTGGAAAGGCGTACTGTATTGAACGCCGACAATCAAACGGCAGCTGATGATTGTGCACGCTCGTCGTTTATCGTACACTCGCGTCTGTTTAGGCCCAAGAGAAAGAGGGGGAGAGAAGAGAGAGAGAGAGAGAGAGAGAGAGAGAGAGAGAGAGAAAATAATGGAACATTTTCGTAATCGGAGGAGCGAGCGTATGCATCCATTGGTGTCCAATGGATGCATCCAATGATAGCCAATAATCGTCATGCCATTGCCTTTTTTATTTTCCTTTATCGCTCGTTTCGAGCCACCGTTTCATTAATCGGCCGCGGCCGGACAATGAGGAGCCGACGGTTAAGCCGCCCGCCGCGCCGCACGGGATTCTCTCGCGCGATCGCCGGGCCGTCGATAAAACCCGGGGATTCGCGTTTTATCGAAACGCGACTCGTTCCACACGTGTTTCGTGCGCGAACGATCGATTCGCGCCTATTTCGACGGTAACATCTGCCGAAAATGTTCGGCGAGGCCGGATAATTCGGGGCAAATGGAACGGGTCGGATAATTCTTTCGTATACGATTCTTCCTGGCCGGCGTCATCGAGAGAACCGCGAGCGACAAATCGAGCAAATTAAACGAAACGAGGACACTCTGTCGTCTGCGGCGAACTCATCGCCGGGCCCGTTTAATCGCGCGTGCAAGTTATGCACATCGCGCGGCACTTGTCGTCCGACTTTCGCGGGCTTCGATCGTCGCGACGACGACGTCAAGGAAAGTTCCGATTAAACGCTGTGCGAACTATTTCAATCGACTTGAATAGGATAAGATTTGGTTCGGTTCAACTTTCTATGATTTCAATATCGACTATTGCGAATCTTGATGGTTTTAATATACAAATCATGTATTGCTAATCTTAGGAAATCATATCTTCAGTTAATAGACGAAACAGCGTGGCCAAGTTAACAGATGCAGTCGGTCTTTAGATATTCAACCAATTACAGATTTTTCGTTGTATTATTAATTAAAAATTATATTTCAACAATTCGCTCCGATTTGGATGAAATGTCATCGATTTGACTTGATATGAAACATCCTTGATTCCCTCATCTCCGTTAAACGCCTCCGAGGTCGCGGTAGAAATCGAATTGCGAAAGTCGTATTCTTAGCTGCCGATAATTGAAATCAAACATTAATACGGAGATCCAACATAATGCGCGTGTGTTTTACCGCTGGCAATGCCGAACGCTCGAGGAAACCGACCGCGGGGCGGTTTTCCGCGTCGGTTTCAAGGGCCGGGAACATGGTCTTTCGGTCACGTGCGAGTGTTCGGGTCGCGGATTAATCGCGCCGGATGAAAATGAGGGCAACGCGATACGCTAAGCCCAAGCCATCTCTCTCGCCGGAGCGAAGACGGTCAACGGACCGCGAAGGTTACCCCCGGTGGGTGTAGACAATTGAGTTTATGCCCGCATTTACATGCGTTCGCACGGCGGGCGAGATATAGCAGTGAGCTCATTACTTCGCGCTCTCTATATACCGCGATCCGACAGCCGCCTTAACAAAAGTGGCGGAAGGCCGGCGATGCGTATAAAGATAGCCTTCATGATTTTATAATAAATCTCTCCGGGAGTTTGCTGAGCGGCAGAAACTACGGACGCAGAGCTACGAGCCGCACGTTCTTCGCGCGGCAACTTGTCGACAAGTTATTTATTTAACGAGTCGACTTTCCTCGCGTCGCGTGACACGAATATTGATAACACACGACGTGCCGTGATTTTTGCAGGACAGCGCGCGCGGTCGATGCACGCCGACTCATCGTAGGGCGATCGGCGTCTGGTGACAAACGGTTTAAAGGTCCGCGCAAAATGAACGCGGCATAGTGGGAGAGGAGGGGGAGGGGGGTCGCCGTTTATCACAATAGGAATTGCAAAACGATCGCGCTCTCGTATGCGTCCACCCTCGCGTCGCGAATCCCGCGCCGGACTTAATATGATTTCACGGTCACAATAGCGTGCAATACCGGGAGCACGAGTATTTATCCGAAGCTTAACGATCGAGTATCGCAACGTCGATTGTTCGATTGTCCGAGCGGGAAACATTGTTTGATTATTCGGCGAACGCAATGTGATTTTCCCCTCCTCTGGTGCCCCTCGAGGGTTCAGTGGATACGCTATTTAGTGGAGATGTGCGAATCGAGGATCTTCGATGTCGAATCGAATTTTATTTCCTATTTCGAATCAATGGGACGATCAATTTAGAAAAATCATTAAGTATATATTTAAAAATACTCTAATATCATTTACTTTGTTACCAATACTCTTTGGTTCGGGATCCAAAGACCCAATCACATTGCATGGATTTGTATTATTGTAGATTCGAAATTCTCAGAGTCGAGTTATATAGCGAATTCGATTGCTTCCACTAGCGCGCGCTGTGTGCACATTAAGGCTTGTTTATAGTCAATATTTAACTTTGTCTTAAATACAGGTTCAAAGAGTGTTTAGCCAGAAAATTATCCGTACGGATGCTATACAAGTTATTTTACTGAGAAATATTTCAAGAGATATTTAAGACGATCCTTAAATATTAAGAATTGACTGCAAACAAAGCCTTAAGTGTGCACTCAGTGCGCGCTAGCGCGAGCAAGCGAATTCGAACTCGAACCGAGCCGAGTCGATCCGATTCGCATTCGAACATTTCCGCATTTAAATGCTTGTTCGATAATTACGAGGGTGGGTCGAAAAGTTTTGAGCCTCAACTGAAGATGACATTGCTTGTCGTCGCCACTTCAGTACCGCGACAGTACATGCTTCGAAGGATACCTCTGAAAATTTCAGCCATCTTGGACTCTCAGTTGTTCAATTTTAATCTCGGTTCAATCATTTTTTATCCTCCTCTAGTTCCAAAAATTAGAAAGAGAAAAAAAGCAAGTTAAACCGAGAATAAAGTGAATCCACATTGGTGAAAATGGACATATGTCGAAAAATAAAAGCAAGTCTGACCGGAAAAAACATTGTTTCTATGTCAGGCTCAAAACTTTTCAACCCACCCTCGCACGTGTAACACGTATTGCACTCGCGCTATGAATGCGCGCAAAGGATTCCCGTCGCCCGACAAAAAGGCCGAGGGACGTGAAAAACGAAATATCGTCGGCAGTCTACGCGGATTATCGTCCGGCGCGTATAATCCCTCCGGTATAATCGTCCCTTCATTCACGCGCGAGCTCGTTGCGCGCCGCGAGACCTTGCCTCGAGTCGCGGTATGCAAGGGCGCAAATGCGTCGCCGCAGGTGCAACGTGCCGTCGCGCCGCGAGACACGCGTGCGACGAATGCGGGAACAGCCCGGGCCGGCCGATAGACGCCGGGGCGCCGAACGGAAGTGCATAAGGAACGTGGAAATCGATAGCCGGTAGTCCCGTAGAAGCGGCGCGGGGCGCGCGAGCACGACGTATTCGGGCGTCGCGGCTCATTGAGCGCCGACCTGACACGTGTACCTTTCGATTTGCCCGTAACCAGTTCACCGCAAATCCCGCGCGACATAAGGTCCCCGTATACCCGCGGCATTTCTCCTCGCTCGTAGCGTTGTATCAACTCTCACGCTCTCGCGCAGCCGGCGATTCCAGCGCAAATTACGTTAGCGGCAGCCAGACACAGATTTTTAGACGACGTGACGTTACGTCAGCCGCAACTAGCACTTCACGTCTTAAAAAAAAAAATATGACGTAAAATGACGTCAGCGGCTGCGAATCCGTTGATAGAGCGCTGCTTTAAGTTCATTCATACAATAGCGCGGTTAAGTTCATTGATAACGTCGCCGCACGCATTTTATTTCTTTTGTCGAAAGCCGCTCGTTACGTAGGTCTTTCGAGTCAGTGACCTTAAACGGATTAATCGATGCTGTCCCACGCGAGTGTATCGCCGACGCGACGGCCGGAGACGCGATGCGAATCCCGCTCGTCGTGAACGGGAAGAGGAGCGCCGTTCGTCTTCGCTTCGCGGTGAGAAGCACGGGGAGGAACGCTCCCACCGAAATATAATGATACTACAACAATGTTACTTATCGCCAGCGACTCCGCCGAATCCCGATTCACCGACGTGCAAAAATAAACGAGCCCGCGGTTGACTTTACGCTGATGGTTATTTCTCGATGTTTAAACATCGGCGCCAAGGGTTTGTGTACGGAGAAAGGAATTTTTTTAAAGACGCCGTAGCGTCGCACGGGGTATCATCCGGCTCGCTTGCGATCTAAATTTAAAGCGACGACGCGACGCCACCGCGTAGAATTTCCTTTCTCGCGCCGGATTCTTCCGTATCTTCGGCCGGGTG